ACTTTGCACTGTTCTTGGGACCTGTCAGTTGCTCTGAACCATATGGAGAGAGGTTGCATTTAGCCGGTTATTGTCAAATATCGCATTGGAAGTTGGTATCTTGAATAGTGTTTTTCATCCATTTTCCCACACAATCATGGAACGTTGGGCAACTAAGTTTGCTAGGAAAATTTTGTAATCTCTTTTACCAAATATGGACAATACAGAAACCCAATCTCATATGCCTGGGTATCCTCACAAAAAGCTCCTACCAAACACCACCTGAAAGTAAAAAAACCATTGATGAAAAAACAAAAACAAGATAAATCAACCTAAATAAGTTAAAAAAACAGAATAAGAGTAAAACAACATGGAATTCTTGACGAACTCAATTGAATGCATACTTACAGAAGTAACTTTCTTATATATATACGTTCCAGATTTGTACGTTTACTACAAGAATATTGGTTTCCAGAGCCAATTATATTTGCATTTTTAGACGGTTCAAAACACCTCTACATGCTTGGTTCGGTGATTCATGAACAGCTTTGTTTATCGCTGGAATAATCGCATCTACACAATAATCTGAGGCAGTTATTTTAACTGTCTTCAAATGAAGATCTGAGGCGGTTATTTTAAACACCTCCAAAAGATATTTTAAGGTGGTTATTTAATTGCCTCCAAATAACGTGTAATCACCTCCAAATAGTTAAAATTATAAAAAAATTAATTTTTAATATTAAAATTGTTATTTTTAAAAGTTAATATAATTTTTAAAAGTGATTAGTTAATACAATTTTTTTTTTTTTTAAAAAAATCTTTTTAAAAGTTAATATATTTTTTATTAGTGGAATATAAATAGTTTATTGAATTTTATATATGTATGTATTAGTGTGGGTTGTTATATAGAAAGAAATGGAGAAGGAGGAACAAAGGCCATCCAATGTGGGACTTCAAAGTGAAGGTGAGATTTTTTTTCCATGTGCAACAGCCATCTTTGAAAATTATAACATCAGATGATTGAACTTAAAAATCTGAATAGTCTGATTAAAGTATTACAAGAGTAGAACACACTGACCAAATTTGAGGACGATCCAACAGTTGAACAAAGAGATCTCCCTCTTTGAATATCACTGTCTGATAGACCATGAACCACATCTAAATATGCTTTGGAGGAGGTTATTTAACCACTTCTAATGTATTTTTGAGGTAGTTGACATAAAGTCGCCTTCAAATGTGTACTAGAGGCGGTTAAAATAATCGCCCCCACTATTATGGTCATTTTGGTTAATCTGAGATTTTGTAACTGATACATGATATTATTGTTATTATATACCAAAAAAATAATTCAATCAATGTTGTTGTATACACAGATTTCCAGATGCACAATCAGACAGTGCACAAAAGTTGACATAGCTTTTGAACCAATCCATTAAGAATTCACAATAGGTTAGTTTTTGGAAGGAAACTGCAACAAAATTTATTTGTGGCATAAAGGATTGTAGGGAGGTAGTAATGTATATTATGTTAATTGTATCCTTTTAAATGATTTAAATAACATCATGTTCAACCTTGGTTTTTAATGTTTGGTGTAATTAGTCTATGACATGTGTTACCTATGCCACTATCAAGGGCATCAAATCTGCTTTCAACTGATGGTACAAAGGCTGTAAAAAATGCACAAATTCAATGTTTGCGGATTTTGGCAAGTGTTATTGAAGAATTTGTGACATCCATTTGCCCACTTATTATCCCAAGTAAGTCTTTGTATTCATTATCGTCCTGCCTTACAAAATGCTTTATAGTCCTAACGTTTATTCATCCAAATTTAATCTGACTTCTAATTGCAGGTTCAATCTGCAAGTCAGGGTGGTTGATGGCACAGACTCTGCTTTGTTTGTTTTGTTTGACAAAGATGCAACCAACCTATTAGGCATTACAACTGGAGAATTGCGTGAATAGCATTTTCAAAGGGCAAGTCTTATGTGTCTTATGGGTTTACTATTCATTTATTTTGCTTGTCTTAACACAAACCAATTAATTGGTAATTTGCATATTTGATTTTAGGGTGGTGACATGGACAAATACCCTCAAGAGCTTGATGCTCTGATTGACAAGGCATATATGTTTAAAGTCAATGTCAAGAAAAACAATATTGATTCTTATGAGAAAATTGCTTACCAAGTGATTCATTATCTTTTTTAGCAAAGCATAAGATCTCCGCCTATAGCTTAGTGAATTTGGACAGAGGGAAGAATCTGGATAAAAACTTTGTTTGTTAAATCTTCTTATATGTTGATGCTTTCTCGAGGTAACGACTATAACCAGCTCTTCCCCTTGTCCCTCAATGAGAATGGAAAAAACCTCAATACCCCACAAAGCTCTTCCTCAGGTTACCTGAGTGAAGTCCAATTATGAATAACCTGAGGAGAAGTTTTGTGGGTATCACAAAACCTATTGACATTATAAAATTTTAGAAATTTTTTAATAAAACTTCAGAAGGCCATAACTTTTGACTCAGGTATCCAAACCAGGTGCTTTTTTTTATTTCACATAACTTTTCGAGAGCTACGCGTTGGAAAAGTTTTGTAGAATTTTTTTTGAACATATACTTGAGTATATGCCTAGGAACAACAAATACTCAAGTATCTGGGTCATATACTCAGGCATATGTACATGAGACTTGATATACCCGAGTATATTGGTCAAACAGGTGCAAATTGATGTATAGTTTTAGAAGGGGCAAAGTGATACTTTTTAAATGAAAAAAGGGCACAATGGAATGATCTTCGTACTTTAAAAAATAAAATCATACATCAACACAGTAGATAAATCAATAGGTGAATTTAAACTTTAAGCATACTTAAAATCATATATCAACACAATAGATAAATGAAATGGAAAAGTTGGAGAAGGCGTTGAAATACAGCAAACAACCGAGGTCATTTTCATTTTCTCGTTTTGGTTTCGGTTTCCCTCAAGTTTTCTCAGTAACCAAACATCATAGTGCAACACAAACAAATAGATTGATAATTAATAGAGAGCGAGAAAGCTAACCTAAATGATATGAAGTTCCACGAAGTGCGAAAGCTTTTTTTGGTTCGAGTTTCAGAGATGATGAAAATGGAGGTTCTGTAATTTTCGAAGAGATAAAGTATGTGCTGTGAAAGAGATAAGAACAAGAAAACGAGAAGAAGAAGAACGGGGAAGAGCATGCTAAAAAATGGAGTCGAATTAACTTAATACATTATATTATATTGATGTATTAAAGGATCCTGCTGTATAAATTTATATACAATATTTACACTAAATAACTGAAAATGTCATAATATATAATGTTGTTGTATAAACTTATATACGTAACACCAAACAAGTCCTTAAATTCCATTTCTCGTTATAAGTAACTAATATTTGTTGTCTTGTATTTGTTGACATCAAACTTAATTTATTAAATCATTGGAAAATCATTTTTTACATTAATAAATTTTATAAATAATATAATGATAGATTATATTTCAATAATATATTCAATTTAAATAAAAAGTAAAGGCCATTTTGGATCTTTAACAAAAAAATAAGGTTCTTAACAAAAAAATAGGATCTTCATTTTTGTTACTTTACAAAAAAGTAAACTCTTGGTCCTATTTTCAATTCTTTAAAATTATGCTCTCTAAGAAAATTTAACGAAGACTCAATTAAATTTCTAAAAAAGAAATAATGTAGATAATTTTTTTTATAAAAGACGAAAATATGAATTGAGATTTTACTCTAAAATAAAATATCTGGACACAAAGTGCAGATAGAGACAGAGTATTCGATGCTAGAAGAAGTGCATCTGTGACCACCTCTGATACACGGACACGATAATTTTTGGAGAAAATACGTGTCGAACACCGACACGTTTGGACACGTTCCGACACGCGTTCGACACGCAGTCAACTTTTTAGGACACGTTGACTATTTCGACACGCGACGTTGACCGAGTCCGACACGTAGTCAACATTTTTTGATATGTTTTTGGACACGTTTTGACATTTTTATAAAAAAAATTAATAAAATTATAATTTATAAAAAAAGCTAAAAAAGCATTTAATAAAAATTAAAAACTTAGAACCCTATCTTTTTCTTCACGTTGATATCCCTCTTTAATTGCTGCAATCTCGTCGTTGATATCCCTGTTTAACCGCTGCAATCTCGTCGCTCGTTGCTTCTTCCCCGACTCGTCTGCTGCTTGCTGTCTCTGTTCATCTTCGTTGTGAGCTTCTCCTCTTATTGCTTCTTCATGGTCTAGTGTCTTTCTCACTTATCCCTCTCTCTCTGATGTTAACTTTGCCTCTCATTTTTTTCATCTGTTTTATGTTATCTTTCCTCGCTATTATTATGTTAACTTTGTCTCTGTTCATCTGACTTAGTTTGTAAACTGAATCACGGCAAGTCTAAATGTGTGAATCACGGCAAGTCTAAATGTGTGGCTGTGGTTGCTTCGTGTTTTGTTTTCATTTTTAGTTTATATGCTTTTAATATTAATTACAAAAAGTTATGCTACTTTTTTTTTTTTGGCTTTATCATCCTTTTTTTAATGATATACAATGGAAATGGTGAAAATAACAAAACGAACAAATATCATTTAATAACAGAACGAACATATATCATTTAACAAAACGACCATATATTACCTTAGGTATTCTAACTTCTGATATTCATATACATTAATGAATGACCAATCCAATTAAAATGGCCCGGCTTGTTGAAAAACATTTAATAAAAATTAAAAATTTAGAATCCTATTTGATTGATTATATGAATTTTTATAGACTTTTATATCTATTAGATATAAACTATATTATATATATTAAAAATATTATTTAATATCAAAACGTGTCCTAACGTGTCGAAAAATGATATTTTTTAAAATTTACGTGTCGGAGTGTCGTGTCGGAGTGTCGTGTCCCGTGTCGCATCATAGGTGACCACTACTCGAATATGATTAATTGGTGACCAGAAGAAAAACTAAAATAGTTATTATTAAAGTCGTGTAATTCAATTTGAGACTGAAATCCCCAAAAGGCAAAATCGGAACATGGCATTGCGAGGATTGAGTACGGTGGCAGGGGCGGTGGCGGTAAGGCCGCCTAGTGTCCCATCCAGTGTAGACAGCAGCACATCCAGGTTTTGTTTTGGCGTTCGGATTCCTTCTTCGGGAGCATCAGGCTGCAGAATCAGAATCGGGTCGGTACGGTGTAAAGCTTTCGGAGAAAACCGGCAAGGTTCCTTGGAAGAAACCATAGTTTATGAGGGTATTTATGGCCCCTGGACCATTGATTCCTCCGATGTTAGAGAGGTGCTCACCTTCTCCTCGTTCAATTTCGACGCAGAGTAGATAACCTGCCATTTCCAAGCACCGATGTTTATTATTTCTGTTTTCCTTGAATCAATCTCCGATTTTCTTACTGTGGATTCATTAATTAGTTAGCTGCAATAATTAACAGGATTGATATTATTTGATAGAACTTTTGAACGCGATTTTTCTTTTTCTTTTTCCTTTTTTTACAGTTGAAAACGCACTACCTGAAAACTCGTGTGCATTACTTACATTTACTGCTTAAAAGCATTTCTCTTATGATATGTATGTATGGGGCTGGCTATGGCAGGTAATATTATACAGATCAGGATTGGTGACAGCTGCTGCATCATTTGTCGTGGCCGCATCTGCTGCCTTTTTGCCCAACAACTGGTCATTAAGTGCTACACTCCAGCAAAACCTTGATTTTTTTTATGTTCTTGGGTCTGGTGGATTGGGTTTATCATTACTCTTGATTCATATCTATGTGTCTGAGATCAAGCGCGCCCTACAAGCACTATGGGGGCTTGGCGTTCTTGGATCGGCTACAACCTACATCACCCTTGCTCAACCAGCTAATAAAAATCTAATACAATATGTTGTTGATAACCCATCAGCTGTTTGGCTTGTCGGTCCTCTTTTTGCCGCCTTGACAGGACTTGTCTTCAAGGAAGGTAATGCTTAATCTATCTTTCTTTTTACCCATTAAATATCAATTTGAAAAGAAAATTATCTTGTATTCTCTAAACAGGACTGTGCTATGGCAAGCTAGAAGCTGGAGTTCTCACGTTTGTCATCCCTATAGTTCTTCTTGGGCATCTGGTATTCGTTTTTTTTTTTTTTTTGGGCTCCTCTAAAGTAATCCATTAAACAGATTGCCCATTTAATTTCAGATAGTTATTACCGTGGTTCCTTTGAATTGGGCTAATCGTGTCTTTATCAAAGACATTGGCTACACAAATTTATTTTTCTATTTCTTTCAAAACTTTTATGCCTAAAACAAATCATGTATCATATTTCTTGCAAGGCTATTATTTCTTGGAATCCATGCATTTCTCAGTGTCCTTTGAACCTTATATTATGGACACTGCATCTTTTTTGCTTGCACCAGTCAAGCAGATAATAAGGATTGCTATTTTCCTCAATGTGGACAAATTTTACTACAATATTTGCAGACTGGTTTGATGGATGATGGAGCTAAACTTACTTTACTTGCTTCATGGATGGCTCTTTTTGTGATATTTGCCGGAAGGAAGTTCACTCAGCCCATCAAGGTAAATTTTGTTTCACTTTGATGATTTGTGTTCATAAAAGTCTATATCCTCGGTCCATTCACAAAATTCCCTGATATCGGTCTCGTGTTTTACATCAAGGATGACATCGGTGACAAGTCCGTTTTCATGTTCAATTCTCTCCGTGATGACGAAAGGAAGTCCTTGATTGAGAAATTAGAGCAGCAAAAAAATCAGTATTAAGTGCATCTTGAGATGGACTGGTTTTAACAGGATGTAGGAAAATTTTGAAAAGATGATGCGCTTTGCTCTGTGACTTGTGAGCACAGCCTTCAATACACTCTTAGAAGGAACTAGTTCCAGCCCCTCCCCTAGGAGTACGATGTCAACAACAAAAGCATTTTCCGGTTCTTTCTTTCATATGTAAAAATTGCATGCTATGTTGGCTAATAGCCTAATACACATATTTAGGGGCCTTGTCCTCTGGAATTGAAAATGCGGGGTTAATTCTAAGCACGCCTTCTTTTCATGACGAAGTGTTTCATTTTAGTTCCTATAATTAATTAAACAAGTATTAAATTAGTTTAATCAATATGCTAAGTAAAAAAAAAAAAAACTTCTTCATAGAAATTATATGTTTGTTTTTGGGATAAATGATGTTATTGTTTGATTGAATAAGTTACACGAATTAAAAATTAAAAATTAAAAATACACGAACTTTTGCGATATTTTACATTTTTTGGAAATTGAGTGCCTTTTGTCTTCTTCTTTTTGATACGTTCATTACATTGTCTATTTTATTTTAAAAAAATTGTTTGGTGAGCTCATAAAATTGGAGTATTCGATGTAAGGGTATTATTGTATTAAGGGCCTTTTTGTATGAACTTTCTTTTCTTTTTATTCAAAAGTTATTTTCTTTTGTAAAAACACTTCTCACTATAAATTTGTTTGAACATCTGCTTAAAAAAAAAAAAAGCAGAAGTCACAAAAAGCAGACCTTAGCAATTTATAGAGTATAAACACAGCAAGGTAAACAACTAAATTCCAATTACCAGAGAAATTAATAAACTGCTACAACACTTTATAATACCAGAATCAAATTCCAATTACCAGAGAAATTAATAAACTACTACAACACTTTATAATACCAGAATCAGTGTAATTGTCAGTCTCTACAGAGAATATTCAAAAATTAAATCAGAGAGACAATGTAATATTTCAGGAAAATAATATTAATTTATAATATAATAAATTAATAATAGTAATAAATTATAAATTAGTAGTAATAATAATTATGTGTGATGAATTGTGATTGTTTAAATTATTAATTGATTGAACATTTGTCCATTAATGTTTGATTGATTGATTAGTAATGTGATTGGATCAGGATGAAATAACAATCTTTATTTGATTAGATATGATGAGTCAGCAATATTCTGAGTCATAAGAAATAAAAAATAAAAAAACGAAAAGTGTATGAAGTCAATAACTGAGCTAGATACATCAACGAAGAATAAAGAAATAATTGCACGAAACTCATATTCGAGCCAAAACTTCAACTATAAATAGTGGCCTAGCCTAACAAAACCAATTCACTTTCAATCCTCAGTATTTCTTCTCTTTCTCCTATGCTACTCTCTTCTTACCTCAAAATTTTATTTATTTATTTTAATTTGGTCACAACCGCTTCTCTTCCCCAAATTCTAGAAGGTAGCAAACATGGAGACCAGGTAATCCTAATCTTTAGGTGCTCTTAAGTTATAATTTTGTTTGAAATTTATTATATGTAATCCTAATACCTAGGTCCTCTTAGGTTAATTTTGTATGAAGATTTTTATCATGATTCTTAAATTTGAATTATTACATGTGATATTTAGGAAATTTTATTGGAAAAAAAAATTAGAATTGTTATTTTGGAATAAATGGAAATAAAGAATAATTTACTATTATGTGATTATGAAAAACTTTCCTAATATATGATTGGCAATTGAATTTGAAATTATGATACTTTCCAAATATGAGATTCATGATCATGAGATTTATGATTTGAAATTGTGATACCCTTTAAAGAAAATTTTCCAAATATATGATTTATGATTATATGTGATTGTGATTAATTAATAGTAATCCTAATCCCTAGGTGGTTGTAGATTTGTTGTGTATGCAATTTTATTGGGTGTGTCCTAATCTTTAAGTATTTATATGTTTGATATATGTAACCCTAATCCTTAGGAAATTTTAGGATGTTTTCATATATTATATGTAACCCTTAGGGTATTTAAATTAAATTATTTTAACCTCTAGAAATTAATTGGATTAATTATTGAATTTTGGCTTTACTCTAATAGATGTGAATATTTGAGTTATGATTTGGAAAATTATGATACGATGATTGGATTTGAGTTTTACTCTTTGAATTTTGATTTGAAAAATTATGATATGATGATTGGATTTGGGTTTTACTCTGGTAGATGTTGAATATGAAAATTATGATATTATTGGATAATGGATTTGAAAATTATGATGGATTTGAAAATTATGATATTCTTGGATAATGGACTTGGAAATTACTATATTATTGAAAGATTGAATTTGGAAATTATACTCTTGATTAAATTGACATGGAAATCATGAAAACTATTTGACAATTATGAGAATCGTGACAAGATTGAATTGATTGTGTGTGATTGTAATAAATAATAGTGGGAAGTTAGCTTTTGCGATGGTATCTCCTGAAAGTGATGAACACAACCTTTGGGCTTTATGCCTTTGATATTTATTAGATATGACAATGATGTTTCCGTTCTTCTCAAAGTGGTATCTAGCAACAGGGTTTCCCAGGGTACTAGTAGCAACTTTGGAAAGAGGTGTGCACACTAGGATTTGATATTTTGATGATGACCAATTTTGATTATACGTGGCTGGCAACAGGGTTTCCGGGGTCACGGGGTAGACTGACAACAGGGTTTCCCGGGTCTGCCATAGTTCTATTCCCACTACATACACTAAATAAACTTAATAAAGATTATGAATAATATTTGATTCGATGTGAATATATATTGAAGTTGATAATTTGATGTGATTATGATGAGATATATATGATGAATATTGAAGTTGATATTTGATCTGATTATGATGAGAATATTTTATATATGTGATGAAGTTGATATTTGATTCAATTATTATGAAATTATATATTTAATCTGATTACTATATTTGAGTTATGTAAATTATGTTTTTGATTAGGATTACCAGTTTTGTTGACTTTTGTGTTTGTTTGACTGCAATGATCCTTTCGGGGGCAGCAGAATTTCAATGAATCAGGTTAAAAGGATCGGGCTAGCAATGGGCAGTGAGGATAACTACTCAGAGATTTTTGCTAATCGTAAATTTTATGTATAAGACATATCTCTGATTTTATTGTGATATTTATGAATGTAATAAAGAGCCTTGCACTTATCCCTGTACCGGTGCGACGGTAACATTCTCCCAAATTAGTTTTAGATTAGCTTCCGCAATAGATATAAGATCTTAATAAATTATTTAATATTTTTTTTTTTTTGAAAATTTCTCTATTATAGGAATATTTTATTGTTGTTAAAATTGTTAGAAATTTGAGGGTGTTACAGACAAAGACAAACGATATATCCTGGTTCACACCCAATAAGCCTAAATTAGGCGTTACGTCCAGACTAAAGTCGCCGTAGATATTTTATTTATCACAATTGTACCATTTTACAAACATGCGTCACACAGGCAATAAAACAAAATACCAAAAAACTTTTTAGTGCCTACACTGCTCTATGCTTTGAGAATTTTCTCAAGTCGAACCTAGGAGTTCACCAACTCACCTCTCACAAGACCTTCACTCTCCTTAGTGGATTCTTGAGGCTCCAGGCCTTGAGACACACTCTCAAGCTAAGCATAAGGTCGCCAACCCGCACGGTTGCACTCACACACTTAAGAGATTTTTACACACGCAAGCACTTCACTTTTAGCACCCAATACATTGTTCCAATTTAAACAAAAAATTATTCAATCAATACATTGTCCTATCACACTTGATATATCAACTAAGGCACAAGAACAAGCTCCAAGATTATACGATGTATGTAGAAAATTAGAGCAAGAAAATATATATCACAAACTCTAAAATTTCAATTACAAGGAACTTGTATATAACAATATCAAGCTTCTAAACAAAGGACACTAAGAAATTTGATTTATAAAGTATATATTACAATGTAAACAGACAATCAGATTTGTAATTGTTAATCAAAATTTATCACAATGAAACCCTAAGATTATGATAACAAAAATGAATTGAAAATTTTACAATAAGAATTCAAAATAGAGGAATACTGCAAGAGATTCAAGTTCTAGAATATAACAAAAGAAGCTTCGTAAAACAAAATGAAGTTGTTACCATAAGAGCTTCAAATTTACAGCAGGCAAAACAGAGTATAAAGGTAGGTTTCTTCAAGTTTATTCCAAGAAACTTGATTCCAAGGTTTCCAATCCTTCAATCTCGTAGAGCAATGAACATCACTCCAAATCACGCAAACTTGACTCAGAACTTGATCAAGAAACTCATCAACAATGGTACAAAAGGTTTAGGATTCAAGAAATGAAAATTGTTGATGGAGATTTGGGGATTTTGGAGAAAGATAAAGAGAACAACAAGAATCACTCGTACTCACAATGTAGCTTCAATGTTTCAATAATTCACTCACTCAAAAATAATTTTCATCTTGGAGATTTCTGTTTTCTAGATAAAGAAGTTCTTCTTTTCGTAAAGAGAGAGATATATTTGAAGTTATTTTGATGAAACAGATGCAATGTGTTTTAAAGCCAACTTTTGCATCTGCTCGTTACATCGAGATAAATTTTCCAGCTCAATGGTTTGCTCACTAAATCGAGCATTTCATCAACCAATAATTGAAATATAAAAAAAAATAAAAATTTCAACCTTTTAAAGAAAAAAGTTTTTTACAGAACAACTTTCAATGCATACTAATCAATTACAAAAAAATTTCAAGCTTCAAATTCACATCAATATAAGATGCAACAAGTTGTCAACATCAAATACAAAAGAATGTAAGATGCATGAAATGCATTGGAGCTTGATATGTTATTTAATGATATATCTAGTGTGTTACAATTAATCTAACAAAATAAGTTGCTTTATCTCCAATTTGAGTCATTCATTAGACTTTGACATCTTCAAAATAATTATGTAGGAAGTACTTCAGTCTCGTCTTCCAAATTAGTAGTTTACTTAATTTCAAAAAACATCGATACAAGTGATTCTTTCAAAGAAGCGTAATGGACCAATTTACACCCTTTAATTGTTTCACCAAGGTAGTAAAAACTCATGCTAGTTCTTACTTCTATTATGTCCTATATTTTCATGATGAATATGACTTAGAACACCTAACCATTTAATGATATGAGACTGACTGTTTCACATATTACATGCTTGGAGGGCTTCACCAGGGATGCAAATGAGTTAGCCCAAGTCAAACTTTAGCTTAAATGGGCAAGATTTGTATAAATTATTTCAAACTTGGCTGCACTTGTTAGCCTTATAGTATCCAATTTATAAGTTTGACCTGGTTTTCTTTTCAAAAACACAAGGCATGACTTGGCTTATCAAGTCTGCCAAGCCTTCAAAAATGTTGCACTTGTAAAAAATAAATTATAATTATATTATTTCCTCTGTATGTTTAATTTGGAATATTAACAATTTAAGTATCTTGCTAGAAATTAAAAAAAAAAAAGGGTAAGGAAGTAGAATGCTTACAAGATATATAAATGCTTACAACACCCATAAGTCAAATAATATGTTATTTTTTTAATAATTTTTTTGGAAAGAAACAATTTTGTCAATGAGACAAAAAAGAGAGAAAAAAGTATTCTTCTGTCCTTGGGACAGAGATATCTAGCTCAGTAGGCTGGTATGTTACTTTTGAATCTAATGCTCTCTCTAAGGTATCTATGAAAAAGATACCCTTGAGTCATGCAGATCACAGTGAAAATTGATTTATATTAGAATTCTAATTGGTCATAATCGATCTAACAGTGAAATTGATTGGTAGTAACTCTAATTGGTTGTTACAATATCTTACACCTAATAAGAATAAGTGTATTAATCGAAAAAAAGATAACCTAAAAATCGAAAACCGAAAAAAAAATCGCATATTTTAATTAGATTGGATCAATTTTCGGTTTGATTGGTGAAAACTGATCCAATCTAAACTCTTCCAATGTATTATGTATTTATTATTTTCCTAAGATGGTAACTTAGAATCTTGTTGTTTTGTAAACTTGAAATCTTGGATGTTATCAATAGCAAACTATCTTGTTTTAGTTTTTTATTATATATTAATCTATTTTAACTCTTAATGAATTTGAAGACTTGTTTTAATTTGAAGACTTGAAATTTTTAGTGGTTTATAATTTTGAATGATTTTATTTTGATATAACTAATAATTTGTATGACTAAGATTTTAGGCTTTTCAAAAAATTAAAAACCGATCCACAACAAATTGAACAAAATCAGATTAACTTGGATTTAAAAGAAACCAAATAATGATTAAATGATCAACCGAAAAGATTAAATCAAATGGTTTTTATTTCAAATGAATCTAATCCAGATGGAAGTGAAACGATAAACTTATTTAAGCTCCGTGGACGTGCCTTTTTTAATTTTTTTTAAGGAAAATTTTATTTAAATCGCTTGTGGTTAAAACAATATCACTTTTAGCTTGGCTAGCTGTGTACAGTTTCCGCTTTTAATTATGTCACCCGTAATCCATGACATTTATCGCGGGACTGGTCCAAATACCTTATTAATTAAGAGAAGACATTTTTTATTTTTTTGGTAAGCAATAGAGGACATTTTATATGGTAACCGGATGACAGGAGCTCGACCCTTCAAAGTATACATGATAATAATTTATATTAGAACTCTAACAATTATTATTCTTATCCTTATATTAAAATCAAATTAATTGTTATAAAATATATCGAATGAAAATTATTAATTTATTTGGTACATAAAATCATTAATTTAATTTTGATGTAATAATAATAAAGTAATTGTATGAAAAAAATTATAAATATAACCTATTTCGTATTGTTATATTATGACATATACAATAGTTTTTTTTTTTTTCAAATAAAAAATTAATACAAAGGAAAAGTCTATTTATTTAAGACTAAAATATATTCAAATTTATTAATTTTATGCAATTGAAGATAAGATATATTCTGTCTCAAATATAACTCTGTATGAGGTCCACCTATAATTTAAAAAAAAAAAAACATCATATAAATCGATGTATTTTTTGAAAAGAGAATTAATATCCAGTAATTGTTTTTTACTACCGAGACATAAAAAAGAATGGACCTAATCATTGTTTTCCCTCTCATTTCCTTATACTTTGTCTCTTATTGTTTTATGTCTCAATGGTAAAAAAAGATTTCTATCACTAATAATAAATTGATTAGCTGAGCACCGAAAAAGGATTGGGCGTTGTTTTGTCTCTCATTCCACTATACTTCTCGCTCGCTGTTATATGTCTCAGTGCAAAATTTTATTTCTACCACCGAAGCAGAAATGATAATCCCAATAATAAGTTGATTAGGTGAGCCACCTAAATATCCTTTGTTTCCTACTTCTGAGACTCCTGCCTCTGTCAGGTTAGATATAAATTTAAGTCTAATAGCGCCCCCGTGCTTGAACTTGCTGCAATTGGGGATCTGGTAGGTCGGTGAGGTCGGGCGATGGCTTTTGTGGTTAGGCCTAATACAAATCCCTTCGTCAGTAAGATGATTTTGCTCTCTTCCTATAACCAATCTAGAAAAGAAGGTTTGGAGGTAGGGTTTGTGAGAAAGAAGAATTTTGGGGTAACAGATCGTCTTGGTACACTGTCCGTCAAGTGTGCTCTGGAACGCGGCAGCAACAGCAGTGACGGAAAGAAAGGAGGGGTATCGAATTCGAATTACGTGGTGCCCCTGGACAACTCATCCTGCATAACTCGTCCTTTAGCCGAGATACTCCGAGACCTTAATAAAAGAATCCCCGATACTATCGTCAGAGCTCCCATCCCTGGCGATTCCTCGGCTGTCACCTTTATCCCCTGGTACTTTGGTGCAGAGTAATCTGATATACTTACTATTTTTTTCTTCTCTCTCTTGCTCTCCTGAGAACACTTTGTTCTCAAACAGATTGTGTGAATATATATTAAAAAACATGCAAAAGAGAATAGGAGGCAGCAAATGGAAGACGACTACAAAGTTGGAGACTTGTGATCCTCCTGGGAAAAGAGTCCTATTACTGAATGACATCTCAATTTCAAGACTTGGTTCTCTTTTACAGCTTCTTATACACACTCACACACACACATCACATCACATCACAATGAAAATATCTCAATATGGCCTTTGGCATATGATTTTTCCTTTCTCTCTGGGACAGATCCCTGTTCACCATCCCCTTCCTAGAGATCTAAGACCTCCTTTCATAACTATGTCTCTGGATTTCAAGCATTATCAGTCACTATTGTCTATTTGGTCAAAATCCCCAGTCTGACATATTTTAATTATGACTTTCACTTAACAACAAAAGTGCCGAGGGTAAAATAAGTTAAAGAAAAACAGCAGTGTTCATTTCCTGAATTTATGACGATCTAATTAAATTATGCTATCTGTTGCTGTTCTTTGGTAGGTATCATGCCAACAGGATGTTGAGCTTCTATGCCCCAGGTGCACGAAGTTATCCCTTTGTTGTGATTCATATTATTTGTTTAATTAATTATCGTATATACTGCCTAATATAGCATGTGTGGGTATCTAGGACCAAAGATACTACCTATCCTACATCATTGTAAATGTACATAGGACCCTAATACAACCAACCACTAAACTTTCAAATTTCAATACTCTTTTGCAGGATGGTGTGGAGAAATTCGTGATGTCATTTTCTCTGACAATGGCAGTGTGACTGTTGTATACCGTCTTACTGTACGCGGATCTGATGGAGAGGTAAGCCTTTAGTCCTTGTAAGCTACTCTCTTTTTCTTTGTCCCATTTGATCATTCTTGCTCATCTTTTTTTACGTATACATTGAGGAATCGAACACACACCTATTACATAACTACCCACACCCCTCACCACTAGGCTAACCCTAGTGACTTTTTGTGCTCATCTTTTGATTGACAGAAAATTAGAAATAAATTCCCCAAGCTTATATATTGTTTCAATCAAGTTTACTAGAATGAGGATCCTCCTACAAGTAAGGGAGCGGAAAGATAGTAGAAAAGAGAGAAATAATGAATGGAAATCTGTCATTGATGACTGAAACACCAACAGCAACAGAGAAAAGGAGAGATTTCTACTTCTAAGGCTTTCCCCTTTTACAACTAAACCGCTGTGCTGTTTTCAATACTAACAAATCTGCATGCCTTTCTTCTACCCTCCCCTACTATTTAAGCTATTTCTTTACAGCTAACAACTGTAACTTCCCGATCACTTCACTTCTATCATTATCCTAACTAACTAACTACTCTCTGGGCCCTATAAGAAGGGCAGCGGGTTTGCAGGATTGAGTCATAGTATTGGATTGATGATCCTAAGATCCTATTATTTCCTAAAAGGAAGTGATGCTTAGTTGGGTACCTTTGATGTATGACGAAGATCATGTGATTTTAGCAAGACATGTGATATCTTCACAACTTATGTTAGCATCAGTCTTTAATAATCTCTATAAAGCTCAAACTGTGACATGATGTCACACTTTGATATGAATACGCCTCAAAAGAATGTATAATACAATGATACCTTAAGCGAAGAATTACAATAGCAATAAAAGTATCTTAATTGGATTTGAGTAATTCTCTAAAGCTAAAGCGATGGGAGTCATTTGCTGTCATGGAGGATTTTGCCTAAACGTGGTATAATCATAGTAATTTAATTTTTATAAGCACAGGATTTATGAATTTTTTTATTTATGAATTTATAGTTTTAGGTTAAAAGGTTTGCATGTGGATTGGCATGGTAGTTTTATTCATATGTTATGGTACTCTTTGTCAAAATTTATTCTTTCCAAGTTCCTCTCTCTCTCTCTCTTGTCTTTATTGCTATCTTCCTTCCTTCCATCACAGATTTGCATATTCTGTGATAAAAATATAATTTTGATCATCATCTCTAGTGGTTAAACTTGAGCCTGTTATTGTTGCATGTTTGGGCAATTAACAAAGTTAAGAATATTGTTGAAGGTGCGAAGAAGTAAAAGAAACCCAGGCATCACATCCAAAGACTCTTAGGCATCACATGTAGGTTTAGCCTGCGTCACACATCCAATTAAAGATCAAGTCACTGCCATTATTCATAAAGCTCATCAAAAGAGAGCATCACAAGCGTTCAAACAAACCTCTTTGGAATAAAATCCAAAATTTCAAGTCCTTTGGGTTGATACTTTGTGGTATTTCCTAAGCTACAAAGCAATCTTGATCTTGGACAATATAACACAAATATTAAATACCACAAACCCAAGCCCAAATTCAATCCAAGACCAGGAACTACAATAAAATACCCCCATAACTGAATTTTTAAAATAAACTACAGAATTGCTTCCTAATCCTAATTGTCCAAAATTATTGTAACCAAATGTGACCTTTGGAATATTATAATCACCCCAATCATAAGAAGAAAGGAGTATTGAGGCAATTTATTGGTAAACTTAAGGCAGAGGCGCTCGTTTTCCCTTTAGGTAAAAGTGAGAGTTTCTGTATTCCATTAGCTGCACATTTGGAAACATCTGAAGTGTCTAAGCACTGTTAATGTTCTTCCTTGATGACAGGCATATCGTGAGTCAACTGGGACAATATCACCTAGTGATGGAACCATTGGTGATCCAGTTTCAGCAGCTGAGGAAATTGCTTTCTGCAAAGCTTGTGCCCGGTTTGGTCTTGGCTTGTATTTGTATCATGAAGATCAAATGAACACTATTTAAGCTTCCAAATTTTGTTTGGGGTTTGATGTGATGTAGTATTGTTTTCTTCTCATTTGATGTGAATAGAAGTAGACTATTAGGTGGCTGTTAGGTACTCATCAAGTACTGTCAAGTATTGTGGAAAACTAGAAGCCATATTTTTTATTTGTAAGGATCCAATACTTATGGGAAAGCGAGTTTCTTTTGTTGCTCACGTACATTTATGGCTTTAAGTTTTCGAAGTTAGGGTGGCCTAAGCCTTCAATTGATATGGAATTGCACAATTTTATTATGCCTTTTTTTGTTGATCAATGGGATATTTTTTATTTTATTTTGGTAAGACTACAAGGTGTTCACACGCTCTTTGGGTATGGGACAAATCTCTGCTCAGTTTTTCGCTTGGCCTCAGTCAGAAGGTGCTTTCAATACGTTTTGAACCCGTGCAGGCAATGGATTATCAATTTATTCGTGTCCTTAATCTAGAGCATACAACTCACAGAAAAGAAGGGATGATTGGTTAATTGGAGCTTGGAATATTTGTCGTGGTCTAGAAGAAGCGGGAGAGGGGGTGTTCGTGTCTCGTTAATTTTTTTTTTCCTTCAAAAACGTTGCTTTGGCCTTTTTAACTGGTTTTCGATGCGTGTCACATTTCTCATGTTCATGAATTTCTTGTGATGTTTTTGTACAACACTCGAGCCCTAACATTTCTTGGATCTTCAATTTCTTTCGTATGTGGATGGTAGATTGAGAAGCATCAAATTTAGTATCCCTTTTGTTGTGCTTGATTCGGATCCTTTGTCTTTCTAAAAGAAAATGAAGAGGGGATCGGGGTGTTTTGTCTTCTAAATTTAGTGACTAAGAAATGAATTAAAGTTATACATAGCAAGTATTTTAACATGCCAGAACAATTCCTAAGTTCATTTGTCATCCCGAACAATTTCTTTTAAAAGGTTTTCTAAATGGGTTAGTAAGTTAACCCGCGCTCCTATTTTCTCCTTCCCTGACAGGGCTACGAGAAAAAGGAGAGTCACGATAATGGATTTCAATCAGGGGGTTGTCACATCTCTTTGGCTAAGGATAAGTTTAAAGAGATCAAAGAATGTCGAGAACAATGAGTTAGATACACTACCATTAAGGAGGTTAATCTAGGATTTGCTGGAGATTGTCCGAATGAGAAAAACCCCAAATCACAGGTTGATGCTATTGGGGTATAGAATGACATTCCAGATGACGACACCACCGATACCGTAGGCATGCAAGAGGATGAGTCTGAGCAATTTATCCCGTCAAGTGGTGAGATTTCGGACTGGGGTTTCCAAACTAAGGGGGAGGTTGATGGTTCGTTGCACATTAATTGTTCTAAGGAAGCTATGCTCAGAATGAGGAGGCCATGGCAACCAGCTCTGATCGTGAAGCTCCTGAGCAAAAAAGTGGGTGTAGGGTTCACAAAGACAAGACTTGATGGCTTGTGGGCCAAGAACGGATCAATAACAATTACTGATCTTGGGAAAAACTTTTTTTGAGAAGTTTGCGAATCTGGAAGACCTGAATGCTGCTATCACCGAAGGTCCATGGATGATCCTAGGGCACTATCTGGCGGTTAGGAAGTGGGAGCCATGCTTTGACCAGGAGAAAGCTAATATCCATAAGATAGCAGCATGGATTCACTTACCAGGTATACCCCAAGAGTTCTTCGAATATCCCTTCTTGAATTCCTTAGGTAATTTAATAGGAAGAGTTTTAAAGATTGGGAAAACCCCCTCTACGGGTGCTAGAGGCAGGTTTGCTAGGATCTGTGTCGTTTATGATTTATCCAAGCCCTTGAAAGGAGAGTATTTCCTAAATAGGCAGAGTAGAAAGGTAGAGTGTGAAGAGCTTTACCTCATTTTCCTGAACTGTGGTCGGTATGGGCACAATGGCGACTCCTGTCCTGATCTGATCAGACAAAACCCTTCAGAGATGAACTGAGAGGCTCCTGTGAATCCTATTTACAACATTGTCCCCTCTCCAGCAACCAGTGGTGTAGGACCATGGATGATGGTCCAAAAGAAGAAGAAATATCAGACCAGCAACCCTAATAGAGCTGGTCCTAATGCCAGGAAATTTGGCACTCACATGTCAAATGTGAAAACTACCTCTACTGATAAAATAGACAAAGGAAAAGGGAAGAATAAAAGTACATCCTTTGCTCACAACCCTAGGCAAACAAAATATGTTCCCTCTCAGAATCCAAAAAAGAGTAAATCAGGAAATGTGTCCCCTTCCCCTTACCAAACAAAAATGCCCTTCTCTGCTGGATCATTTGGTAAGATTAAGTTAAAGGTGAGTACCTTTAATGTCAAAAATACCCATCCTGATAACAAGAGAAGCACCTCATCTTCTTCCAACAAGGGTAAGGAGAATAGAACTAGACCCTAATCTCAAGCGAAAGCTGGTATTCAGATTCATGTGCCCACGAATGATGCTAAAGATTGTGCTTAGCTGGCCATAATGAAGAAAGACCAGAATACGAAAGCTAATAAAGAGTCTGCCATGGACTATATTGGCTCTCCTAGAACTAAACCTCCTGATTTAGATGTGTTTATAAAAGACATCCCTCTGGTCGAAAGTGATAATAAAGAGGACCTTCTTGTAGGCAAGGAGCTTATGAACTTGCAGAGTAACTCAGACAAAAATGGGATGGATGTGGATACCAAGACTAATGGCCAACTTGAGGACCTTAGAGATAAAAGTATCTAGGTGCTTTCTAACCCTGGAAACCCATACCTTTCTTTACGAATTTTTTAGTTTGGAATTGCAGGGAGGCAGCAAAAAAGTAGTTTAAAACCATCCCGAGGAGTTTTAACAAGAAGTATAAGGTTGGATTGACTGCCATTCTTGAACCTAGAATCAGTGGGGCTTTAGCTTTAAGGAGGATTAAGCAGCTGGGTTTTAAAAATTATCTTATTAAGGATGTAGTTGGTTTTAAGGGCGGTATCTGGCTCCTTTGGAACGATGACAATTTTGATATAGCTCTCATTGAGAAAAATAAAGGTCCATGTCAATTGCTCTTGCAGCAATGGTAAAACCTTTATCTTAACAGTGGTTGATGTCAGCCCTAGAGAGGAGACTAGGAGCAATCTTTGGCCATACTTGAGAAGAATTAGTGAGCATATTTAAGATCCTTGGGTGGTTATGGATGACTTTAATGAAATTCTTTCGGCTAAGGAAAAAAAAAGGAGGAGCTCCTATTAATTTATCTAGATGTTTGAATTTCATCGAGGTTCTCAATGACTGTAAAGTGATGGATATAGGCTGCCTTGGAGCTAAGTTCACTTGGAGAGGTGCCAAATGACTTCATTTGAACATGGTTTATAAAATACTGGACAAAATTTGTGCAAATGCCATGTGGAGAACTTTTTTTCCTGATGCCACTGTCAAAGCCCTCCCTATGTTGAATTATGAGCACAATCCTATCCTTTTATCTCTGTTCCCTACTGCAAATTCTTAGAGAGAAAGACCTTTTCGCTTTTTTGCATCTTGGCTAGAGCACACCTCGTTTCCTTCCTTCTTCAGGGAGCACTGGAATCCTAGCATTGAGATAAGCTCTTCCTTGACCAATCTTGTCAGCCTTCTTAAGGAGTGGAACAAATTTGTCTACGACAACATCCAAGTTAAGAAGGAGTTAATTCTCAATAACTTTCTTGAGCTGTAAACTAATAAGGGTGATATTTCGGGTGATGTCCTTATCTCTTTGGATGGTGATTTGCAGAAAGATATCAACTCTATTTTGGAGGCTGAGGAGAGTTTGTGGTTCCAATAGGTCAAGTGCAATTGGATAGCTGGTTGGGATAGGAATACTAGATTCTATCACACCACTACCATTGCCAAAAGGGCTAGATACAAGATTTTGGAGCTAAAATCTAATGTTGGTCACTGGATTAAAGAAGAGGAAAACATCATCAACCTTTTTCTCTCATTTTATTCCAATCTGTTTAAAGAAGACCTGATGGACAGACCTTGGCACCTTACTAAAAAATCTTGGCAGAATCTCTACTAGCAGGATTTGTCCATCTTGGATGCCCTAATCTCTGATTTACACATTAAAGAGGCCTTTTTTTAATATGGGAGCTTTGAAGGCTCCTGGCCCTAATGGTTTCCCTGCTATGTTCTTCCAAAGGAACTGGGACACTGTTGGGCCCCAAACTATTTCAGTCATAACCTTTTCAATATCTCTAAAATTAATCAAACCATGTTGGTTCACATCCAAAAAGTGCAGAAACTAGAGAAAGTTACTTAATTTAGACCGATAGCTTTATGTTATGTTCTGTTCTCTATGAAGGTGTTAGTAAGATCATCGTCAACAAGCTGAAACCTATTCTTCAGAAGTTGATCTCTGCTCATTAAGTCAATTTTGTGCCTAACCGAAATAGTCAAGATAACATCATCATTGCCGAGGAGATGATTCACTCAATGAATAAAATGAGTGGTAAAAGAGGTTTCTTATAGCTGCTAAAATTGACTTGGAGAAGGCTTACGATCGCATCTCTTGGGAGTTTATTAGAAAAGTCCTAGAAGAAGTGAACCTCCCTCAGAATTTGGTTTCCATCATTATGCATTGTATAACTTCAACTGAGCTTGTGCTGCTGTGGAATGGTGCAAAAACAGGTAATATTCAGCCTTCTAGAGGTCTGAGACAAGGTGATCCTATTTCTCCCTACATTTTTGTTTTATGTATGGAGGAACTTTCCCATTTAATTGCTGACGCTATAGAGAGTAACAAATGGGAACCAATGACTGTTGGGAAAAGAGGTTCAAAAATTTCTCATTTACTTTTTGCAAATGACCTTATGCTCTTTACTGAAGCATCAGAAGCCCAAATCAACAACATCATGGGCTACTTGAAAACCTTTGGTGGTATTTTGGCCAAAAAGTGAACACTGACAAGACCAACATCTTCTTCTCCAAGAATGTAGATGTCACTATAGCCGACAGAATAGTTGACATCTGTGTTTTCAAAAAAACCAATAATCTTGGCAGATATCAAGGTTCAATGATGAAGCACGAGAGAGCTACTAAAGGACTCTATAGTGAAGTTATGGATAAAGTGCATAAGAGACGTAATGGCTAGTCTAGGCAGAACTTATATATGGATGGCAGAGTTACTTGGCAAAATCTGTCATTTCTGCCATCCCTATGTTCCATATGTAGAATAACCTTCTACCTCTTGGCATTTGTG